GCCTTTATTTCCCAGGTCCCCCCCTCCCCGCCGCTGCCACCACCACCCCGCAGCCAGAAACTTCAGCGCTGACAGCCATGGGTCCTGGCAGGCCTGGCGACAGGCAGGGCAGGTGGGAGGGGGCCCCCTCCCCCACAAGCCCCTGAGCTTCGCTCACCTTCACGCTGTGCCCAGGCCAAGATCTCCCGCTCCCTCCGCAGCAGGCGGCACAGCCGGTCCCCCAGACCACTCAGCAGGTGCTTGGCAAGGCTCAGGTGGAGCTGCGCCTCCGGGTCAGCCGCTCCTCCCTCCTCCGAGCTGGGGGCCGAAGCTTCCTCCTGCCACGCCTCCCCTGCCAGAGGCCGTCTGGAGAAAGAGCGAAGGAAGGTGAGGGAGGGGGTGCAGGGCCGGGGGCGGGGCGGGGCGGCGTCCAGGGGCAGTGGGCTCACCTCTGCACCAGCTGGGAGGGGTGGCTCAGCCCTCCGGCCTCTCCAGCTGCCTGGACACAGCTTTGGCATGGAGTAGTGCCTGCCGAGAGGGCTGGACAGGGTACATCCCGAAGCCCTGGACCCTGGAGGCCAGCCCTGCCATCCCGGAGTCCTGAGGATAAAGTAGCCAGTCAGAAGGCTAGGGTCCCTGGGTTCATGTAAACCCCAGCCTCTGCCTTAGCTCTCTCCCCATGAGGCCTGAGTCAGAGTGGCCCTGGCAGCCATACAGCAGGCACAGAGGCTGGGCAGGGAGACAGGTAGTGCCCTGACACGATCAGACAGGTGAGGGAAGGGCCGTCTGCTGCGTCAGGCCCACCAAAACTGTGGGCACACAGATGCAGGGTTCAGCCAGTGTAGACATGGGACAACTCCCCCGAGGGCTCCGTGACACAGCCAGCTGCGTGATGACATAAGGGGACAACCCCAACACGATAGAGGACGTTGGAAAATGAGAAGGCCAGACGATGCCCATGCAGGCCACAGGGGCAGCCACCCAAGACGTGAAGGGGCCAGAAACTGCTCAGGCCACGCCTCTGGCAGGTGTGGCCAGACCCACAGCAGGTGTGGGAGTCTGGTGCCAGAGAACGGAGGTTGGCACCGTACAGCCAGGCCCCTCTGTGAGGGACACGGTGTGACAGAGGGGTCCACGACGAAGCCAAGACTGTCACTCAGGCTGAGTTCAGTATCAGTGTTCATGATCCAGCTGGTGGAATGAGGCAGAACACAGGGTGCCTGGGGCAGCGTGGGGGTCCTTCGGAGAGATGATCCCCGAAGGGACTGGCAACGGCGCAAGGGATGCGGGCAGTGGACGTACGCCTAGTGCCCAGCAGGTGCCAGGGACTTCTTCCAGAGCCCTTAACATGAGTTATTACGGCGTGGCACCTCTGCCGCCTTCTTCATCTATCCCTGTTTTACAGACCCAAAAACTGAGGCCAGCCAGGTGCAGTAACCGGCCTAAAGGTCATGCAGCTGTCAATCAGCGAAGTCAGGAGGCGGGCACTCTGGCTGTGTCAGGGCTGGGGAGGGGGAAGTGGGTGGAGACAGAGGGACAGGAGCCCCCCCCCGCCCCCACGAGCAGGCTCTGGTCTGAGGAAGCTGAGCAGCTCCCAGACAGCCATGGGGGTGCAGGCCGAGAACCTGGCCACCAGGGTGGGATCCCCAGGCCCTGCCCTGCAAAGCCCAGCCTTTCGGCCCCCTCCCGAACAAAGGCCCCTGCAGCGCCCCCTGCTGGATCACCTCTCTGGTCCTCACGCCGTGCGGCCTCTGCTTTGCTCCCCACCGATGCGTCCAGCAGCTCCTGGCCTGCGTCGCCTGGGACAGGGCCAGGTGGGCGCTTGGGGGCCGGGCTCCCCGCGGCTCCGTGCACCTCAGGGCTGCCTGCCCTCTTCCGCAGCTGAGCGGCTGGGCTCTCCTGGTTGCCAGGGCAGCCGCCTGGACACCCGAATTGCTCAGAATGTCGCGTGAGCCACGTCTTCTTCAGCTTGGTGTGGTGGCTGGGGGGGCAGGCCCTGGGGCTGGCGGCTTTGCTCACTTCCTCGCCGGAGTCACCGGGAGCCCCCTCCAGGCCCTCCTGGCACTTTCCACACGGGCTGAGGCTCTCTTCTCCATCGGGTGGGTGGGAGGAGAAACAGCCGCCGCCCTGGGCGTTAGGAGGTCCTGGAGAGGGGCACCTCGGTGTGGCTGGGGGCCCCAACGGGTACCCAAGGCTCCCACCACCTGGTACGGGCCAGACGTTGCCAAGGGTATGGACCAGGCCTGGGGGACACGGGGGCCAGGGGCTCCGGGGCACAGTGTCTGCGTGCCCCAGGAAGAGCGGGCAAAGATTCTGCTGCCTGCCAGCTCCTGCCTCCCCATTCCGCGGCGGGAGCTCGGGGCGCTCCACCTCCCCGGTTCGCTGGAGCTGCCCACCGGGGCCCAAGCCCCGCAGCCCGGGCTCTGCAGCTGCCAAGGGCTCTTTGGCCAGCCCCAGTGTGCTCGGATCCTTGTGGTAAAAGCCCTGAAGAGAGGCAAAGGGGTCCACGCTGAAACTGCCTTTGCCTCCCCATGGGCAGAGCTAGAACCCCGCAGGGAAAGGACAGGTTCTGGGGGCCCCACCAAGGGCCTCCCCTACCACCCTGGGGCCCTCCCCACCCAGGCCCTGCCCTGGATGCCCCATATGCAACTAAACAGTCAAGGCCCGCCACGGCCAGAGGACACGCAGGCGCTCTCTGGCCTGCTGCGTGCCCTGAGCCACTCTGGTTTTTTTCAATCTTTTCCAATGTCGGTTTGGGTGTGGGGAGCTGCCCCAGACGAGGCCGTGAGGTTGCCTGTGTCTCCCTCTGACAGTTGAGGGGGTCTTGCCTCCCGCCGCCCACGCCCTGCCCGAGCTTGCTCAGGACAAAGCCGCCCATTCCCGAGGCAGGGTGTTCAGGGCTTTGACCTTGGGTGGAAAATGGGTGAGTCAACGGCTGCCGTGGCTTAAGGGCACCGGGAGGCCCAGGGGAAAGCTCAGGGCAGGGGTTGCATGGGCTTCACTCCGGGGCTCGCCCCCTGCACTGGATGCTGCCTCCTCTTTCACCACACCCACCCAGGGACCCTCTCCACTCCAGCGCTCACCTTGCTGCCCAAGCTGAAGGCAGCAGCGGGCACTTTGGGCTGGGCCCCTGCGTACAGCCAGGGGTGCGGGGCCAGGGGCCAGTCACATGGACGCTCCGGGGGCAGGCTGGACACCAGGTAGGGTGGCAAGCAGGTGGGCACCCAGAAGGGAGCTCGCTCCAGGATCTTGGTCTCCAGGAGGAATGGGCAGTGCAGGGGCCGGAAGGCCACAGGGTCGTTCTTGAGCTGGTCGCCGCCGTGCTCGGGAATCAGGGGGCCGTAGGGAGGTGGGCACGCCGGCCCGCAGAAGGCCAGCGGCTGCGTGAGCATGGCCTCCTTCCAGTGCAGCCCCTCCTTGCTGCCCAGCCAGCTGGTCTTCCTCTCCCCACCCCGGGGGCCCTCACCCTCCACCAGTGGGAGCGTGTCCTTGGGGCCCTGGGGGAAGCCGGCGGGAAGCCAGGAGTCCGGGGTGCTCAGGCCACCCCTCCAGAAGGGAGCAGGCTGTCCCAGGCACAGCGCCCCACGGTGCAGGCCATCCCGCAGCGGGGGCCCTGGCTCTTGTCCCGCGAGGCCGTTCTCAGGGGCCGTCTTCTCCCAGACCGGGGTGTCCTTCAGGAAGCTGGGCATACTCTCCATCACTCTCCTGCCCTCATGGGGCTCTCCCAGAGGGGCTCCCTGCAGCATAACCAGCAAAGCACCTCACCACCTGGCAGAGTGGGCAGCGCCCCGGACCACCGAGGCAGCTCAAACCTGTAAGGCCAGTGCCCACCTGGCTGCTGGGCACCGTGCACGCTGCCCGCACACCACCAAGGGTCCTGTTTGGCCGGGATGTGCCCCTTCCTCCCAAATCCTTGGAACTTGGCAGCCTCCCGCCCCCGAGGGCCAAAGCCCTGGCCAGAGGCTGAGTTTCTGGGGTAACCCGTTCTGGCCCCATGAAGCCAGGAACCTGGTCTCATGCCACAGCGAAGGGAGAGGAGCAAGAAGCCGAGAGCTCAGCTCAGTGCACTGCACTGACTTGGGGAGATGAAAAGGCTGGGTCCTGGCCCTGACAGTGTGTGACCTGGTGTCCACAGGGCTTGGGGCTCAGGGACCTTCCCCTGGCTGCAGCCCCTGGTTCTGAGGGTGCTGCTTGCCTGCTCCCAGCCCCCAGGCGGGCTAGCAGGATTGAGAAGCGCAGGCCTGGCTGGCTGGCTGGCTGGCTGGAGTTACGGGGGCGGGCTTTGAGCCAGGGCTGCTGGCTGCTCTCTTCCCCCTACACCTGGGCAGCCCAGAGCCGTCTCTTCCCAAGGTTTCTCCAGCTGAGTCCCAGAACACGTGCGGGGGCTGGGATCTCTGGCCCCGGCCCCGCAGGGAGAGGAGATGGGGTGAATCAGCATGGGCGAGGGGCATTAGGCAGCCTGGGCAGGGCTGGGGCAAGCGGCCCCAGCCTCAGCGGCAGTGCCAGGGCGCCGCTGGGAACTGAAGCCTTGGCCCGGTGGTGGCGGTGGGGAGGGCAGGAGGCGGGGAAAGCGGGCTGAGCCCCAGAGAGAGGCAAGGGAGGGAAAATTGAACGTGCGTGCAAGGGACCAGGATGACAGGTGGCACCCGCGCAGCGGCACGCGCGGGTCGGCCCGAAGACGCCCGGGAGGGGGTGCCGGAGCCTCAGCGCTGAGCGCGCCGGGCACCCCAGCTTTCAGAGTTGGGATGCCAAGTTCAGCCCAGAGAGTGCCCGGGAAACTCGCACCTCGCGAGCGTCCAGGAGGCGCGCCCCTGGCGCACCGACGCGCGCTTACCTGGGCTTCACGGGCCGGGCGCGGCGCGGGCGGCGGCGGCGGCGGCGGTCGTCGTGGCCGGCGCCGGGCGCACGCTCCCCATGGGCCGGCTCCGGGGCCTCCCGGCCGGCGGGCGAAGACGCAGGTCTCCCGCTCGCTCTACTCAGCGCGCTCCGCGCTCTCCTTCCCCCGGGGCGGCGGGGGCGCTCTAGGGCCGCAGGTTGGAGGGGTCGGACTCCGGGATCTGCAGGATGCGGCACACGGCGCGGATCGGCCGCACCAGCTTCTGGGCCGAGGCCGTGGGCTGCGCCATGGGACGCCGAGACTCCGTGCTGCTGCGCCGCGGGAGGACCGGACCGGGGCTAGGGAGCGGGAGGCCCCCGGAGGCAGAGAGCGAGCCGGGCCGGGGGGAACGCGCGCCCCGGGTCGGAGGTGTCCGAGTTGGGGGGGGGGAGGCCGAGGGGTCGGGGGAGGGGGTCGTGCCTGGAGCGGCGGGAGGGCCGATCCCGTGACCCGGAGAGAGGCACCAGCGAGGGCGCAGCACCGCGCGGAGCGGCTAATGGAGGGACAGCGCGGCGGAGAGCGCCTCAGGACCTCCGATCGCCATCGCCAGACGCGCAACTGAGAGTGGGGAAGCTGCCCCGCCGGTTTCCTCCTCCAGCACCCTGCGGGAAACAGGAGCCCGTGATTCGGCGGCCCCGCCTGGGCCTGCCCCCTCCTGAGCCCCGGGGGCTTCCGCCAACGCCCCGGCGATGCCACCGGCTGCGCACGGGGAGAATGAGCCCTTTGTTCCCCCCTCCCCCCCGCGGCACCCGGGCGCCTGCCGAGAGAGGCTCCCCCGGGGCAGCGTGCCAGCTTCCCAGCCGCCCCACCCTCCCGTGGGCCCGGCCCCGGAGCCTGGCAGGCGGGCAGCACCCCCACTATAGGTGCCAAGCCCGGGAACTGGAGCAAAGGGTGGGAGGGGCCGGACCAGGCCACGGAGGGGCGGGGTGCCCCCCGGGGTGCTCGGGCGGGGTTGGCTGGGAGGGGGCCGTGCCAGAGCTGGCAGGGGCAGTCGGGTTCTCACGGGTCAGTGATGGGCACTTTGACCCACGCCAGCTGGCCTGTGGCTGCTGGGCCGCGGCCGGCGGGTCCTCTCCACCTCTGGCACCTGGGCACATCAGCCGGCAGTGTCTGCTGCGCTTCGTCCCCACCTGGCCAAGCGCCCTCTCTGCAGCTCCCCACCCAGACCCCCTCCTGACCCCCTTCCCAGGGCCCAGCAGCCCAAAGCGACGGGCGTAGGAGGTGCGGGAGGGTCTGGGCTCTTTCTGGCTGGTGCCTGGTCTAAGGGCCCCGGCTTGGCCCAGTGTCCAGAGTAGAGATGTGACCAGAGGAGTGCCCCCTCTGTGCCCCAGCCACGGGTCTTGGGGCTCTGCCCCGTCCCCAGCGTTCCTAGGGCTCCCAGGCCGGGCTGGACAGGAGCCCATGGGAGTGGCTCCTGGGAGGGAGCAGCGAGTAGGGAGGAAATGGGCAAGCCAGGCACCCTCCACCCGAGGAAGCATCCCGGCTGCTCTGCGGGGGTGGTTCCAGGGCAGACACAAACAGACAGATTCAGACGCACACAGAAACCCACACGCCCAGTGGGCGCTTCCCTTCCCTGCAGGTACCCCCGCCCCACCCCCGGCCCTCGGCTCCCCAGTCTCCCCGTGGGAGTCACCCTCCGTGGCCTTCACCCCGCCCCTGGGGGACAGGAGTGTCCCCACTGCCAACCCCCCCCATCTGGACCCCGGGGATGAGCTCTGGGGGCTTCCAGCCTGGTCCCAGGTCCCAGCCCCGTGCCTGGACAGCAGAGCGGTGAAGAGCCCCCAGAGCCTGCTCCCTGGAGGCTGGAGCAGTCAGGGCAGTGCAGGAGGGGTCCCGGGAGGGGGCAGGGTGGTCTGCAGGGGCTGGCCTCCAACGAGGGACGTGGCACGCGTTGGCGTGGAGCCCCCACCCCCACTCTTGGCTACTGTCAGAAGCAGGTTCTGTGCAGGGCAGGCTGGTAGGGTTGTTTACTAACACTCCCTTCCTCCCAAGCTCCCCTGGGGTGCCGGGGGCCTAAGAGTGCCCGGGAGGGGGATGACTGATGGACAGATGGTGGCGAGGCTAACGTGAACTGGAAGCCCGAGGCCCCTAGGCCTGGCCTCCCATTCCCAGATGGGCTTCTGGGGTGAGACTGCGGGCAGGGGTGTGCCTGGGGTCCCCCACCCCACCCCGTGTCCTCTGGCCTCCCTCTTCGGGAGCCAGAGCTGTGGGAGAGTCTGGCCGGGTTGAGGGGTGGGCATTCCTGGAGTTTGGAGCCTGGAAGAGGCCAGGATAGGAGAGAGGGCTGTCCAGAGGCCCGAGGGCTGGCTGCCATTATCCTCCAGGGGTTGGGGATTGTCCCAGGGGAATTGGGACAGTACCTCCCCCTCCCCATGTCCCCTGTTGGCTTAAGTCCTTGCACTGGACCTGGGCTCCCAGGACAGGCTCCTGACGGGGCCCGGGCTCGTGGGGCCGGGGGCAGGCCCCCTCCTCCCGCCCCCTCACCGGCTCCCCATCCTGCTGCCCAGCCCAGGCCACGGTCCGGCAGAGTCCCTTGTCAGGGATGTTCCGGGCTCGAGGCTGGAGCTGAGCTGAGACGCACAGAAGAAGACACACGCACAGAGAAGCCACACGGCGCACCCGACACCATGCCAGATGCCTGCACAAAAGCAAGCCAGCTGGCGCCACGGCCCCAGCCCGCACCGACCCCGGCCCCTCACGCGCTGGCACGCGCTCCTGCTGACACGCACTCTGCACGCGCTGACAGGCGCCGCGGCGGCAGGAAGCACTCACCATCCCCAGAGCCCCTTACCTGGGCCAGCCCTGTGCCCCTCGGGCGGGTGAGCAGCCCCCTGCCCGGGGGTGGGCGGCAGGCGGGGCGGGGGACAGGAGCCCCGGAGAGCCAGGCCAAAGCTGCCACTAATCCGTGCGGGGAGGGGGGGCACCCACGTCAGAGCGGGGACTGCCGGGTTGAGGGCATCTGAGGACATTCCCTCCCACACACGCGGCCGTCTGGGCACCTAGCCCTGCTTCCCCAGCCCCTCCATGCTCCAGACAGCTGAGTCTGGCCTCCCCCCACCCTGCCCCCACCCCGGGGGAGGGGGAGTCCCGGGGGGATTCTCCCAGGACCTGGGGGAGGGGCGGGGGGGAAGTGTGGACATGCTCTGGGAGCCAGGAGGAAGCTCTGTGGCCTAGGCCACCCCCCCCACACCCACCTACCCACATCCTTGACCCAATTCCTGTCTGGAGCCCTCCCCTCTCACCCAGGAGAGAAAGCCCTCTCCCTTCTGCCCAAGGCCAGGGACCCTCCCTGGTGTCCCTGGCTCTGGCTGGAGGCAGCCAGCCCTCCTCCCTGCCCCCGGGTGTCGCCCCCTACCCAACTGTTGGGCACCCCCAGTCCCTGAGGCTGGGTGGGGGGAGGGGGCTCAGAGACCTGAGTGGTCACTTGGCCCCCCTGGAGGTGGGCAGGAGCGGGGCCCAGGCCCAGGCCCGGCCAAGGCTGTGCTGGAACCAGAGGCCTCATCAGGTTGCTGCGAGTGGTGGCTAAAAATACAGCCATGCGGGCCAGTGTGAGCCATGACCCGGAGGCCAGAGGCAGGACCCCAGGAGCCCCAGACCGGGAAGCACAGGGAGGTGGATGAGACACCTGGGAGGGGCTCGAGCCAAGGGCAGGCCAGGTGGGCAGGGGCGGCTGCAGGGGACCTGGTGTGTGGCTCTGCAGGGGCTGGACTCGCTGGCCTCAGCCCCCCACCCAGCTGGAGTACAGGGGCCCCACTGGGACAGCTGGGTAGAAGCTGGGGGCCGGACCGGCTCAGAGGGAAGCCCCGGCACCCCAGCCTCGGGGTCACATGTCCGCTTGGCCAGAAACGCCCCGTGGAGCCCTTGGACTTGTGGTCGCTCCTTCCCCTCTGGCCTCGGATGGCCTGGAACTTGGACAACGGCAGTCAGCCATTCACCAAACCCAGGGCATTTTTCAGGCTCTGGCGGGCCACAGAGCGCAAGGCACCCAGCAAGGTCGCTCCTACCAGCAAACAACAAGAGGCTGGTCTCGCTGTGGAGTCAGACCCGGTGACCAGCACAGAAATCAGGGGGTGAGCAGAGCTACTCACACGCCATCACCCACCAGTCACCCCTTGGGGAGACCGTGTATTCCAGGCGGGGACAGAACAGCAAGGGAGACCCCTGGGGTGGGGGAGAGAGTCCAAGGCCTGACGCACAGAGATCCCTGCCAGACCGGGGGCGGTGTGCCCTCTTGATGCAAGGCCGCAGGGGGACAGCAGAGGGCTCCCCAGGGGGCGCGGGGAGGCCGTGTCTGTGTGAGAGCTGGGCAGGGAGGAGGGAGAGCAGGCCCAGCCCCGGAACCCTGAGACCCTGGTGGAGAACACGGGGGCACCACCAACCCAGCCAGGGGCCCTCGCTGCCTGCTCTGCACCGCCTTCCTAGCAACGCGGGAGGAGGAAGCCCTCTCCCGCCCCACACCCAGGCCTCACCCCAACTCTCCCTTCTCCTGCATGCGTGCTGCACTTGACCTGGGCAGCACACGCTCTGCCTTTAATTCTGCTGGGCAGACTCCGCCATTCCACCTCCCGGGCTGACTTCCAGCAGGAGGCGGCGTCCCTGGAGCTCGGGGGCCGAGCGACTGGGGACAAGTTCCTGCAGCTCTCTCCGAGCCTCAGTTTTTCATCTGTAAAATGGGTATGGCCTCAACCTGCCTGGCATGTTGGGAGGATTTCATAGATGTACCATACACGTTAGTCTCCTGCTCTTTGCCTCCCAGGCAAGAAACACCTTGTTGTCTTTGGTCCTGCCTGCACAGTGATTAAGTGCAGACTTGAGCCAGACGGCCTGGTTCAAAGCCTCGTTCTCTCACTAGCTGTGCCACCTCAGGCAAATCACTCGCGTCCTCTGTGCCCCTTGGCCAGGGCAGGGGCTCGGGGCGGCCATTACTAGTCCCCGCCTCCCTACAGTGTTGACTCGTCCCCGGCCTGGCAGATGCTTGATGATGATCAACATTGTCTGAGAACATGAACGTGACGAGGAGACAGCCCCACAGACCCGAGACACGGCCACGAAGGACGCAGCCGAGCACCAGTGCGCCAGCAGCCCGAGCGCCCGGCAGGTCAGGTGCCACCTCCAAGTAAACCCCGGATAATCCCCACGCCAGGAGTTAATCCGTACTCCCCCGGGCCTCCCCGGGCTGCCACCTTGTCTCCCTTCCTCTCATTCTCCCCCACTTCTTTGCTTAACCCAGAGCAGGAAGGAAGAGCAGTCCCGGGCACGGCGTGCAGCCCAGCGGAGTCCAAGGGTGGCGGGGGCAGAGCCAGCGCTGGCTGACCCCAGAGCTTGCAGGCACGCAGCCAGCCCAGGCAAGCAGCCTGGCTCCCGGGGGGGCAGGGGAGGCTCTGTGGATGGCGCAGGCCGAGGACCAGTGACCACAAACAGCAGGGAGGGCCAATGGAGGCCACGCCGGATTCTGCATGGTTCCTGCAGCCAGCCAGCAGCCAGGCCCGGCAGGGCGGGGCTCTGGCCAGTCTCCCAGCACCGCCCTCCTTGACCTGGGAGCTGAGGGCAGAACAGAGCGAGGCAGCTGCTGCCCTCTTGTGGCCACTCCTCAGAAGGCACTGCTGCCCTTCCGGGTAACAGAACCCAGCGTCCCAGGAGGCACCTGCCGGCCTCCCTCCCCACCTCTCCCTGCAGGGCCTACTCCCACACCCCCACAGGTCAGGCCCCGTCCCCATCCCCTCCTAACTGGAGGCTTCTCAGACTGCGACTCCCCTTCAGACAGCCGCCCCAAGTGTCCCTGGTGCTCCCTGGGAGCACACCGCGTGGCCGCTGTCCATGGCTCCGTGTCCCCCGCATTCCAAACCCCAGGCCGTGCCGGGCCAGCCGCAGGCTGCTCAGCTGAGTGTGTGTGATGTGAGGCGTGGGAGACCCATCGGGAGAAAACACAAGGTCTTTCTGTATTTATTTAACAAAACATTCACAAGCCTGACCTCACTCGCCGACACAAACCACACAGCCGGGACTCACCACGCACACCAGGCCTTGGGACAAAGGCTGTCAAGCACTCGGAAGGAATGAACACAGGCAGCTGGGGGCAGCTTTGGTCAGAGAGGGTCCTGGTCCCACACCCAGGGGGAGGCAATAAATAGGATCGTGGGCCAGCCCGCTTTGGTACAGTGTGGGTGCCCTGACGCAGGGCCCCCGGCACCAGCAGCTCTCAGCCAGCAGGTGGCTGGCACAGGTGCCCTGCAGGGCATAAGGCAAGAGCAGGCCAGCCTCTGCTGACCCTAGCTGTCCATGTCAGAGGGCACTGTCTTTTTCCTTGTCCGAACCTTCAGGGAGCGCGAGGTGGCCTGGGGGTGGGGGAGAGCAGGCACCCAGTGAGAGGGGAGGGCTGGCAGGGCTGGCAGAGCCCCCTCCCCCTCCCCACACCCTCCTCCACCGACCTCCCGCGTGGGCGGCTTCCTCTTCACCACCCGCAGGCTCTGGCTGCGGCTCAGCGGCTTCTCCCTGGGCCGGGCAGGCGGCTTGGAGGCGACCTCCGTGTCCGACCAACATTCCTCATCTGTGTCGCTGTCCTGCAGGCCCCCGGCCCGGTACCCTGTGGGGAGAGCAGGCCCGGGGGAGGCCAGGCCGGGCATTGACGCGGGGTTTCCAGCAGCCAGCCATGGGGGAGGCCACGGCTCTCGGCCGTCCCTCTGCCCACTCACCGATGGGCGGCCTCCTGCAGGGAACCTGGTCCTCCAGGTAGAGGGGGTCCTGGTAGCCGGGGGCGGGGGCGTCGGCGTCCGGGATGCTGCGCAGGTCCTGCATGGAGAAGCTCCGCAGCCGGCCGGCCAGCGCGCCCTGGCTCTGTGCGGGCGGGAGCCAGGGAGGGCACTCAGGGGGCGGAGCCGGCCGGGGCTGACCGTCCACCACCCACTGGTGCATGCGCCTGTGAGCACACCCACACGCGGCAACTTGGCAACCTTAGGTCAAGGTCACTCCTGCTCAGCATGGCGGGGTGGGGGGGCTGCACGTCCTGCTCGGGATGGGGGGCACGGGGCGGGGTATGCACATCCTGCTGGGGCGGGGCTGCCCAGGGCACCTTGGCAGCGGCCTGCACGGCGGCCGAGGCCGCGATGTTGAGGCCCCGCTTCCCGAAGCTGAGCACCGTCTCGTAGCTGCGCTCCTTGGCCTGCACAATGTACGTGTCGATCTCCTGTGGACCCAGGCGACCAGGGCGGTTCAGGCGCCTACCCCCGCCTCTGTCAACCCTGAGGGGGTCCCCGGGGCGGGGGCGGGTACCTTCTCGTGGCGGGACAGGGACGGGTGGACAAACTTGCGGTAGAGCAGGCTGGCTCCCCTGGTGTAGGGCGACAGCAGCCACAGCACAAAGGCCATCTTGATCTCATAGTAGAAGGGGAACCTGGTGGGGGCGGGGGCACAGGTGAGCCGGGAGGCGCGCATGGCTTGTGGGCCACCCTGCCCCGCAAACACCCCATGCCCGCACCAGGAGATGAAGATGTCGGTGAAGGTCTCGGCTGCCATGAAGATGGCAAAGACGATCCAGTACATCATCCAGCGGACCTGCGGGGGGGCGGGCAGGGCGGGGGTCAGCGGCCAAGCCAGGCCTGGCCCTGTCTGGCCCAGCCCGGATTCCACAGAGCCCGCCCTGCTGCACTGCTGCGTTCCCCGGTGCTGCTCAGCCCTGCACACACCCTGGCCGGCTTCGCCCACAGGAGCCCCGGCGGTGGGCGGCACCCTCTCCCCTGCACCACGGCCACGTGGCCGGGCCTGGTCTCTGCAGGTGCACTTGGGTCATTGTCCCCCGCCCCGGAGGAGGGGCGACCAGCTCAGCCTTCACACACCTCGCCCACGGGAGCCCCGCGGTGGGCGGCACCCTCTCCCCTGCACCACGGCCATGTGGCCGGGCCTGGTCTCTGCAGGTGCACTTGGGTCATTGTCCCC